GCGGATATGCTGCGAGGAGCTTAGCAAAGAGGCTCCGGCAGGCCCCTGGAGCTCTCTGGGTGCCTCTTTCCCCGGAGGAGCCTGTCAGGGACCCAGCTGCTGGTGATCAGAGGACTGAGGTTCATCCAGCCCAACTCAGCCCCTCACATTTCTGCAGGCCCCAGTGCTTACCTGCACGGTCACGTAGAGCCTGTGGGGACTCCCGGGGCCAGCCCAGTCCACGCTGAGGGCTCGGCACTGAGCCAGGGCTGGGCGAGCTGCACTTCGGGTGCTGGCGTCCTCGTCACCGCTGGCTGGGATGTCTTTTCCACGCCCTGTCCCAGGACAGAGAAGATAGGTGAGATGCTCAGACCACTGGCCGGGCCAAGGCTGGGCTCTGCTTTCACACACTCTGGGCCGGCCCAGGCGCAGCCAGGAGGGACTCACCTGCTCACACACCTGCCCGACAGGGAGGGAAGGCCTGGCTCCAGGCAGGGGCTGTGCTCCTTTCTTACCAAGAGATGCCCCAAGATTGTTTTCAGGAGGGCACCCAAGGCCCTGAGGCCCAGGGGAGGGGCCCCTGGCCTCCAGAGTGACTTGTGGGTCTAGCACTTACTCATGAGCACCTTCTACAGACAGCAGCGGAAGGAAGCTGAAGCCAACCTGCTGCGCTAACCGTCACAGGACGGCACCCCAGGGGCCTCGGCTTCATTACCAAGGCTGCCTCTAGGTGGCAATTTCTCCCTGCCTTCATGAAGACCAACCCCATGCTGGGTGGCCTGTTCCCTCCAGCCTCCAAAAGCATATTCAGGACCAGATAAAGCACATCCCCCTGGCCTCTGACACACTGTCTTCCTCACTGGATGGGAGGAGCCAACTGTGGCATGGATGCCTATCTACCCCACCTCTACTCTACCACAGCCTGTGAGGTCAGAGGACAGGAGAGGAGGCTCACCACACTGGGGCAAGCTGCAGAGCTGCTACTCTGGGGTGTAATTATATCCTGATGCCAGCACAAGGCCAAGTGCTTTCCAGGCCTTAATGCCCTTCTCAATCCTCAGTTTCTTCATCAATAAAATGGGTATAAGGAACCACTTTCATGATCCTGTAGCAAGGATTAAATGGAATGACACCCGTAAGTGCTAACTCAGTGCCAGGCATGCAAAGAGTGGCCACAAATTCAGGCCATCGGCTCCTCACAACAACCCTGAGAGTTAGGAATTGGAGGGTTAATAACATGCCCAGCAGTACATAGAGCCAGTAATAGAGCCATCCTATTCCATGTGCTGACCCACCCTCTGCTGGCCTACCCTTCTCAAGGAAGCTGTAAGAGGGGTTGGGGACAGAGGGCCCCAGGGGCAACCAAGTTAGCTGCAACCCTACCCAGTGGCAGGCATATGCTTAGCATTTCACACACAGGATTTCACTTGACTTTTGTCTTAAATTTTAAAATTGGGTAAGTCTGTATGGTCATATAATCCTAATAATACCCATTTAATAAACAAATTTGCACACATGCACACACATACACACACAAGACTGGAAGGAACTATATAAAATCTTCAGCGATAAGCCTCTAGGTGATTTATCTTTTTCTTTTTTATACTTTTATCTGCTTGAGGTTGTTTTCCCTTTGTTTTAGTTTTCCAAGAGAACACACTTTTGTTTTATGCTTCTTCTTTTTTTTTTTAAACCATTTATATTACATTTAAACTCATTTGTATTACATTTAAATCCTTAGGACAACCTTGTGGGAAAAGGCCATCTTCAGCCCCTTCCAGAAAGTTGCAGCTACCTGACCCAGAAGCCCAAGTTTTCCCCAGAGGCCCCCAGGGTCATCTGCAGCCTCACTGTCCCCCACAGAAAGACTTTGGAGGCCATCACTCTGGCTGCTACTGATGATTGCAAAAGTGTGGTGAGAGAGAGGGAACTGAACAGGAGTTTGCTGTGTGCCCTCTCTGGGCCTCAGTTTCCCCTTCTGTACCTGATGGGGGCCTCTGGAGAATGTTTGCTAGCTCCAACATGCTGGTAATCTAAACCCCTTCCCCTGTAGGTCGTGAAACAGACAGCAAACCTTGAAGGTATCTCGTCTGAAGACCTCTCATTCCCCCCCACACTCCAGGACGCAGGGCCCCAAGCAGAGATAGTGCTGGAGAGACAGTCACTGGGCAGCTCCCCAGACCCGTTGATCCAGCCCCCACCTGGAATCAGAGGAGCCTCTCACTTGGCGTTGGAGGCACCAGGAGACATGACCCAGAAAGGAGAGCTGGTGTTGACAGCTCCCCTAGGGTACCCGGGGGCCCAGGCTGGGGGACTCCACTGCCCACCTGCTGTCGGGGCCCCTACAGAAGCCACCCTAGATGGCGCCGAAAACCGAGTGCATGCCACCCAAACCCGCCGGGCCATGCTGGGGGCAGCCTCGTCCACTCCCCTCGCCGTCTGCGGGCCAGCCCGGGCAGAATCAAGTGTCAGGGCCGCGCGGCGCCGGGCAGCCACTTCACCTACCTTGTTTACCAGCCGCGGGCAGGCAACGGAGGATGGGCGCACGGCAGGGCGACACGGACCTGCCTGAGCCACAGGGCGCGTGGTTGTTGGCTGCGTCTCCCCCCAGCTCTACCGACCGCGTTAAGGTTTAACTCGGCGTCCACGACTTCTTACAGACCGCACAGGGCAGGAGCGCCCTGTGAAATTGACGCCCTGACTCCACGCCGGCTCGCGGGCTGCCGGCTACCCTGTAATTACCTGACAGCTGAGTGAGCCTAGAAACTTGGAGAAACCCTGGTCTCATCTCTGGTATCTGGAGGAAGGAAGCGAAATAAAGAGGCATTTTAAAAATGCGGACTCACCAGTTCTCAACCTCCCCGGGCCGGTGTGTGGGAAAGGGCGGGTGGCAGGGCTGGCTGGGGCGGGGCGAGCCATCCCCTGCGCGGGCTCCCCGGCCCGGCCCACTCTCCACAGGCTGCACAGCGAGGGCGTGGCTCCCAGGTTCCACGTCCTGCGCGACGGGACCATGGCCCGGGGCTCAGCAGCCTCGTCCGGGGGCCTGGCGGCCTGCAGAGAGAACAAGGGGAAAGGAGATTGAAGGCCGCCACCCCCCGGGCCACCCCTACCAGGGCTGACCGGAGCCCACCATATGGAAGGATCTGTGGATCCATGTCACCTGTTCCCCAGAGCAGCAGCCCCAACAAATTGTCCTCCAAGGTTCCCGGGGCTCATGGGATGAAATGTGGTCTGTTTCCATTTGGGGGTGCTTATTCCCAAGTAGGGCAGCTCAGAAGTGGGCAAGGTACCAGTAAGGTGTGTCTGTAGCACACTATGGAGACCCTACATCTCAGCCCCTTTTTCTCCACTAGGAGCCTGACAGCATGAAGATGTGCCAGGTCACAAACCCACATGAAGTACAAGTCAACACTATCTCTGTAAATCTAATCAGAAGGGGCCCTGATTGTGGCCATTGACAAATTAAGCATATATATCAAATACTCTTAAAGTTAGCTCATTCATGTATTCAGCTGGCCTTCACTCTGTCCCTACAATGTGGCTGGCACCATACTAGGGGTTGATATACAAAGATTCATTCATTCATCACTTAGTAATTATTTATCCAATGTCTGCTGTGTGCCAAGCACCTGCCAAGGGTCCTCTTTGATCGGGAGAGAGGTGGTCTCAAAGCTCCCTATCAGGAAGGAGGTAAACACTTCCACAAACCTTCACAATCAGAACAGGATGCAGGGAGGTGCCAGGTGGTATGGGAGAATGGAGGTGGGGGTGGGGAGCACTGATCTGGAGGGAAAGCCCCATAGGTCCCTTATGAACTGAGCAAGTGAACAGAACAGACTTCAAGCATACCTTACTGAGCACCTACTGTGCTCAAAGCAACCTTCAGGCATTTGAGGTGACCGAGCTACAATCCCAGACTCAGACAGTGACACCATTTACAGAAGAAGCCAAGTCAGCTCAGAGAGGCAATGGGAAGTTTGCTTTTCATTTGAAAATGGAGTAGGATATACCCAAAGACTTCCTAATGGCACTACTTGAGCTATAGACCCCTTTCCCCATCCCTCACTGCACTAATCACTTTCTACCAAGCAGTAAAAGTATCTACTTGAATGGTGTCCACCACCCCCGACCCTTGATGGCTCCCCAGAGTGGGGGTCCCAAAGACCCAGCCTGGAGCTGCAGCTACATCCACACCAAACAAGTGATGGCTTTTGGGGTGAAAGCCCTGAAATAAACACACACAAAAGCTCAGACTCAAACTTGGGTAAGAGCAAGCCTACAGACAGAGACTCAGAGCTGGAAGGCTAACACGGGACACTGGGCCACAGGTAAGGGTGCAGTCACCAAAGGTGGCACAAGGAAAAAGGCAACCAGGACTGAGCTCACTCCAAGTGGTACAGAAAGCTGGAAAAGGAAGGTCAGAGGTAGCAGGAACAGAAGCAGAGTCCTCAGAGGTGACTGGAGGGTGAGTAAGAAGGAGAGGATGGTCAGTTCCCAGTGAATCATGCAACAGAAGTGTCAAACTGGAAAAAAGACTCTGGGAACTCTTTAAGGGAGCATGTCAGTGGAGCAGGGCAGAGGGCAGACCTGGCAAGGCTCAGAGGGTGGATGAGGGCAGGAGAAAGCAGCCACCTCCTTCTCTTTGGGGAAGTTTGGCTAGGATGGGAAGGAGAAGCTGAATTGAGAAGATGTGTTACTTAGAGGAGGAGAGATCTGAGCATGCTGGGTGGACAGAGAGGGGGGAATGTCTGAAGCATCCAGAGGCAAAAGAAGTAAGACTGCAGGACGGGTGGCCTGAAAATCTGGGCACCGATGTTCATAGAGCTGACCCTGGAAGAATGCCAGGCTCCTGGCTAGGGAGTCATGGTCTTTGCCTTCCTTGACTGCAGAAGACAAGTTGGAGGAGGAGGCTTCTGATCATTCTTACTGGGAGGGGGCAGGACTATGGGCCAAAGGATGGGCGGGGGCTAAACCAAATATGTAGGCAGGCTCCACAGAGGAAATGGAGACGGACCCATGTGGAGTAGAAGGAATCAGAGGAGCAGCCAGACATCCTCTTCTCCAGGCTGCTTGGCACAGAGCTGGGCACATAAACAACCCTGAGGACCAGCTGCCCAATGGGCCAGAAGAGAGGGATAGGCTCTGCCTGCATGCCACGCCACTGGAAAGGTGAGATGGGTACTGAGGGCAAACTCCACAGTTGATGGACAAGATTTTTAAGGAGATCACCTGAGTCTGAGAAGCAAGGACAGTAGGAGACAGTATTTCTGTGGCTTTCTGGAAGGGAAGTCAGGGAGGCAGCCAGAATGATATCAGGAAGAAAGAGGAAGGATGTGTGCAAGATCCTGAAGAGGAAAAAGCAGCTGAATTTAGCAGTTGGAAGGATATGAAGGTTAAAAGTATCAAGGACTCAAATAAGACTAAGGCTGGAGCCTCTACCAATCTGAGAGTCATGGTGTGGGGCAACTGGGGCATAGCAGCACAGTGGCTATGACCACAAGCTGGTTCAGGACCCAGCTCTGCCACTTACTAGATGTGTGACCTTTGGAGAATTATTTACCTTTCTGTGCCTCATTGTCTCCACCTGAAAATGGGGAGAACTTCACCTTACAGGTTGGTATAAGGATTAGGCAATGAATATGAAGTGTTTAAAACAATACTGGCATATACAAAGAACTCAAAAATGTTATTTTTCAGTGATCTCCCTCCATCCGTGGGTGAATGCAGGAGGGGCTGCCTGGGGAAGAGGGGCATCTGCCTCTCTGGTTTAGGCCAACGCAATAGAGCTGCAGTCCCCCTTCCATAGACCAGGGATATTGCAATGATTGAGGGACAGACTTAAAAACTGCCCAGATGACTGCTGCACAGGAGGGTTTAGCCCGGCAGAACAGGCCAAAGGGCAGGGAGGTGGGACAGGGGCTGGGACCTCCCCTACACACAGTCACACATCCTAGGTTTTCCAGGACAACCCAGATTTCAAAAACACTGCTCCCTGGTGCCCATAAGGACAGCAGAACTCATGACCTTATGCCTCCAAAGTCCAGTCACGGCAAACACAGGGCCCCATTCTGAGGCTGCATTCCTTGAAAATGACTCTCCCTGGCCAAGGAGACGGCTACTTTATCAAGGGCATGGGGAATATGCCTGAGCAGGGAGAGGTGCTCACCCAGCCTCAGGAGGAGGGAAAGCACGGGCGGGTGAAAGGCCAGGGATTGCCAGGACCCACATCCCCTTGAGACAGATGTGTTGGGGGTTGAGAGAGTTCTTAAGATTTTAAATACAGCTTCCTCTTTACAATCTCCCAAGACCAGGCCCTTCACTGCGCCAGAGTTCTGCTCTAACTCACAACAGAGGGCTGAAGGAGGGGGCTTCTGGCTCCCCTGCCCCTCTGGGATCCCCAGCAGCCGCTGTCAGTGGCTCAATTCTCCACTCTGTCCCTTCCTGACCTCAGGGCTGGCCTGACCCACCCCACCTCCGGCCCCGCCAGGGTGAAAGCGAACTGTCCTGGAGATGTATGTGGTGGGAGGGCCCGAAACTGCAGACTTCGAGGGAACCCTGGGGGTGCGGGAGATCTCTGCAGGGGAAGGGGTTTCCGGTCAGGTCCGGCTCTCCCAGGCCAGTGACATCATAACGGGGGTCCTAAGGCTGCTCCGATCCCAGGGACGTGCCGCCCCAAGCCCTGCTTCCGACAAGGTCCTCGGCTCTGGCTGGATGGCGCTAGGAGCTGCGGGGGGCCGCGCTAGGCTGGGTCTCCGCGCCCCGGCAGTCTCCGCGCCCCTCAGCGGGTCCGGGCAGGGGGTCCCAGGGCAGGGCTGGCCCGGACGCGGCGCCCGGAACGCCGGGCGGACCCTAAACGCCCAGCCCGCTCCCAGCCCGCCGGGGGCCGCGACTCACCGGCCTGGCGGAGGCAGGATCCCGGTGTCGCCGCAGTGCCGGGGGCTCGGCCCGGCCCGGCCCGCCGGCGGGAGGCAGCTCCACGCCGCCGCCTCCTCCGCCCGCCCCGCTAGCGCCCCTCCCGCACACTTTCCACAGGAAATGATTAACTCCGGCCGCGGCGCGTTCCCATGGCAACCGGCTCCGACCCGGGCGGGGGGCGGCGGCGCGCGCTCGCTCCCGCACACCCCTCGGCGCGCGCTCGCACTCGCACGCGGGACCGCCCACTCCGCGGCCTCCCGGCTCCACCCTGGCTTCCCGCTGGGGCCCGCGCCCTCGCGCCCCCGCACCGGGGGACACACGTGTCGTCATCGTGCCCGTGCCTTCCTGTACAGGCGCTCACACGCAGGCACGCGCGTCCCTCACACACGCTCTGGTTAGTACGCACGAACACATTCGTAGTTTCACACATTCCCACACTAGTTCGGACATAACCTGCTTTTGCATTTAAAATTCCACTCTAATACGCACATCCGCACACCCTAGTACAAAACTTTCATATGCGCTAGTTGCTACTCACACACACACCTTTCACACGTGCTTCCTTGCTGTCCCTGAAATGCTCTCACAAACTCTAGCACGTTTTCTTCACATTCTAGCACACACACTTTCATACCCACTCTAGATGGTTTGTGTATACACTTTCACATTCTCACACACTTTATACATGCACTCACATGTTGTACTGGGCTCATACTGTCACACGTTCCCCCAAATGCTTCACATGCTCCGGAGTGCACACACCTATGGCCACTTGCTCCACACACGTGCTGTCACATGCTCTAAGACTCGTCCTCTCTCACTCTACTTAGCACACCCACACATGCACTTTCACACATTATCACACACGTTTTCACACACATGTTGTCACCAGCTCTAGTAGGAATACACAGGTTGCCTCCCCAGCTAGGGTACCACCCGCTGCCAGGTGCTCACCTACAGACATACACCCTCCCTCAAATTAACATCTTCCAGAACAGGGAAGCTGCCCAGAAATTTTTAAGATAAAATACCCCTCTATGCCCCAGTGAAAACATGTTCAGAGTGCAGCAACTCCAGGGCGGCAGCCACTCTCAGGGTAGCTCCAAAAGGCCCTCCTCGTAGGACGCCTCAGAGAGAGACAGCTGGCCTGGAGGAGCCACTCTGTTCTTTGTCTCCAAACAGAGGCCGCATTTTACTCCAGTCAGCAGCGAGAGTCCCCCTCCAGGGTACAGGAGAAAAAAGAAACTCAGAAGCCAGCCCAGTGCAAACTGATGGTTCCGCAGATATTCCGAGGAGGGTGGGCACTCTGCCCCTTCCTGCTGGGCAGGGGATGGCCCAGGAGGAGCAGGGAAGGGACTGGAGGAGGTGTGCAGCTCCAGGACGGTTCTCTCTTCTGTTGCTGCCCGAGTGCTGGGCTGGCAATAGAGAATCTCAACAGGCAGCGGAGCCAACGTTCTGAACCTCAGGTCGGTCTGGGTGCCAGACCAGGACACTCACAGTCCCCCTACAGGAAGTGGGCTAGTGTGTTTTACTTCCTAACTGAGATGCCCCAGTGAAAGCTCAATAGAGGGTAAATGTCACTTTCCTGGAATGGTTCCCTGGAGAGTTAGAGATTTCCAGCTAGAAACCCCAGATAACACTCCCAGTGGGAGACAAGGGCCATAATTAAAGAGCTACCGTCTCTGAATGCCCCTGCTTGCCCTCCAGACAGCAGTGATCAGGGGGACTTCAAGGTTGGATGAGGGTGAAATTTCTCTAGATTCCAGGCCAGATATCTCCCTTTGTTATAGTCCCTATAATTTGGTAGAGCTTGGGATGGTATCTGTCTTTAAAGTCCTGGTGTAGAACCAGAGCCTTGTCTCACTTGCAAGCTGATACATTGATATTAACTGCAGGTTCCTTCTGACAAGCTAAAGCCACGTTTTTAAATTAATAATAACATTTATTGTCCTTTATCTCTGATTACAAAAGTAATAGATATTCATTGTAACTGTAGCGCTAGTTGCTAGAGATAATGCTGCCAACATTTTAGTACAGTCTTTTTTTTTTCTGTGTGCATAATAGCTACCATTTATCCAGTGCTAACACTGTGCCAGGCACTAAGCTAAGCTCTTTATAAATAAGATTCCACTTAACCCTGAACAGTCTGTGAGGTGGGCACCATCACAGACCGTTTTCAGGAGGAAACTCAGCCTCTGAAAGTTCATTCACCAACCCAGTGTGTAATAGAACTGAGATATGAACCCAATAGGTGTGTGTGTGTCTACATACACACAAACAAATAGTGCTATCATATGTATATAGGTGCAAGGGTTTATTAAGATCAAAGCACCAATGAAGGAAAAAGGAAACTGAAGCATTAGGAGGAAGCATTTTTGGAATTCTAGCAAAACCCTGACTTGCAATGTAAAAACATTGCTTCATGATTATTGGAATTTAGTTTAAGAACGCACAGTATCAACAGGAATCTCAAGGTCATTTCCATCCCAGAAACCTCACTGATGGTTTGATGTGAGGGCTGCCAACTCTCCCCTGGCCAACTCTTCCCCCAGGGAAGGTGGGGGATTTGCAAGAAATCTGGCCATCCCAATGCAGGGGTCCTGAACCCATGAGGGGGATTCTTGGTTTCAGCCTTTGGCCTTGACCTCCAGCCCACTTTCTGGCAGAGGCATAGCTGTCTCAAGGTAGGCCACACTAAAGGAAGGTGCCAGAACAGTGCAAAGCTATATCCACATCCACCCTCCTGGCCCCCAGGCAGGGGGTGGCAGCTCTATCTCTGTGTACAAATACCCTGAAACCCCTTAATTCTCAGGCATCCACCTGAGAGGAAGCCAAGGGAGAGTTCTGCCCAGAGGGAAGCAAATAGGGGGAATAACAAGCCAGACTGTACTTGATCTGATACTCAGAGTAACCCAAGAAAAACACACATAAGATTTACATGATTTTCCAGTCTGAATGACCTAACTTGAGATTCAACCACCTCCAGGCCTTAGCAATGTTGTTCGCCCTGGCCAGCCCTCTCTCCTTCACCCCACTCCCACCTTGACCTGGCTGACTCCTGTTTGTCTCTCAAGTACTTCAAGCTTAGAGGTCACGTTCCTCCATCCTCCTGGCCACCACATTTCCCCGCCTGCTCACCTGCCTGCAGTACCTCCAACATTGGATCATAATGGTCTCACCTATATTACACTTTCATCTCTTTGAAGGTGAGGCCCTTTCCTGACTTGATCAAGGGGAAATCTTCTGCAGTGTCT